AAACTTTGTAGCTATGTGCCTCTTTTAGATGATCCTGCTCTAAAAACAAGTGTCTAGAAGCAGACGGAGGGCTGCTTTGACCTGGGGCAACCTTGGGTGACATTCCCCAAGTCTCCCTGCCAGCCTCCGTGCCTGAGGACAGGAGGAGACAGGGCTGTGGACAGATGATGAACAGCTCAACCCCACTGACTTGAGCCAGCCTAAATGGGTGGCAGCTCCTTGCAACATAATAACCCAAGTAGAGGCCCCTTTTCAAGGGAGCGGGAGCCAGTCAGGAAAGGGGGTGTGATGTAACTGACTTTGCCACACTTTGGTCCTTGAAAGAGACCCCCAACTCCCCTACCCCCCGCCCAGACCATGTAACCCAGCCAGAGATAGCAAATCAGCAATATGACCAGAGCACTTGACAACCAGGCAGGTCATTTTTAAACTTAGTCCTCTTCCATACAACAAAATTACTCTATAAAAGTCATGAAATGCAATGAATAACAATAACATATAGATGCACTAGATATGCTAGTTGGTATTTCTTCAGAATTTTCATTAACTACACGTGATTTTGAATGCATTACATATTTTAAATACATCCAGACGCTGTTTTGATTGCCTCCTCTTTTTTTCTTTTCATTTTTCTTTGTTTGAGCTCCACTGAATTTGTATGGTTTCATATTGGTACAGGTGCCCCACTTGCATTTTTCTACAGCTTCAGAACAATTATGAACCAGTTGCCAGTATCACAATACTGCAAGACATTGCAAGTTACTCAAACTTCCCACAGGACAAAAAGATACCCTGATTTATACACTCTTATCAGTTTGAACTTTGATCCTTTGGTTACAGTCTAGTATAATAATAATTTATGTAAATAGTTATGCAGTAACTAATAAGAGGATTTTAATAAGTCCAAAATGTCAACAAAAGGTATAATTTGTTAGTTGTATTTTTTAAATCTTTATTGTTGAAAGTATTATACATGTCCCCTTTTTTTTCCCATTGACTCCTTATAAACTGCCCCTGCCTCCCGCCCCAGGCCTCCACCACCCTATTGTCTGTGTTCATGGGTTATGCATGTCTGCATGCAAGTTCTTTGGTTGATCACCTCCCACCCACCACTCACCCCCCCACCTTCCCTCTGAGATTTAATAATCTGTTCTATGCTTCCATGTCTCTGAATCTGTTTTGTTCAACAGTTTATTTTGCTCATTAGATTTCACATATGAGTGAGATCATGTGATACTTGCTCTCTGACTGACTTATTTCGCTTAGAATAATACTCTCCAGGTCCCTCCATGCTGTCTCAAAGGATCTGAAATCTTTCTTTTTTACTGCTGCATAGTATTCCATGGTATAAATATACCACACCTTTTTTACCCACTCCTCTACTGATGGGCACTTGGGCTGTTTCCAGATCTTAGCTGTTGTAAATTGTGCTGCTATAAACATAGGGGTGCACACATTCTTTCTGATTGATGTTTTGGGTTTTTTAGAATATATTCCTAGAAGTGGGATCACTGGGTCAAATGGCAGTTCCATATTTAATTTTTTTAGGAAACTCCACACTGTTTTCCATAATGGCTGCATCAGTCTGCATTCCCACCAGCAGTGTATAGGGTTCCCTTTTTTCCACATCCTCATCAGCACTTGTCATATGTTAATTTTGTTGATGGTAGCCATTCTGACAAGTGTGAGGTGATACCTCATTGTTGTTTTAATTTGCATCTCTCTGATGATCAATGACTTTGAACATTTTTTCATATGTCTCTTGGCCATCTGTATGTCCACTTTGGAAGAGTGTCTATTTACATCTTTTGCCCATTTTTTAATTGGATTGTTTGTCTTCCTTTTATTAAGTTGTATGAGTTCCTTATATATTTTGAATATTAACCCTTTATCAGATGTATTATTGACAAAAATGTTCTCCCATACAGTGAACTCCCTTTTCATTTTGTTGATGGTTTCTTTTGCTGTGCAGAAGCTTTTTGTTTTGATGTAGTCTCATTTATTTATTTTCTCCCTTGTTTCCTTTGACCGTGGTCGGCAAACTGCGGCTCACGAGCCACATGCGGCTCTTTGGTCCCTTGAGTGTGGCTCTTCCTAAGCCTTAGGAGTACCCTAATTAATGATAATGTACCTACCTATATAGTTTAAATTTTAAAAATTTGGCTCTCAAAAGAAATTTCAATCGTTGTACTGTTGATATTTGGCTCTGTTGACTAATGAGTTTGCCGACCGCTAACCTATGAGATGTACCTGCAAACATATACTATTATGAGAGATGTCTGAGATTTTGCTGCCTATGGTTTCTTCTAAGAGTTTTATGGTTTCACATCTCACGTTTAAGTCTTTTATCCATTTTGAGTTTATTTTTGTGTATGGTGTAAGTTGGTGGTCTAGTTTCATTTTTTGCATGTATCTGTCCAATTATCACAACACCATTTGGTGAAGAGACTGTCTTTACTCCATTGTATGTTCTTGCCTCCTTTGTCAAATATTAAATTGAATGTAATGGCCTGGGTTGATTTCTGGGGTCTCAATTCTGCTCCATTGATCTATTAGCCTGTTCTGTGCCAGTACCAGTCTATTTTGACTATAGTGACTTTGTAGAATAACTTGATATCTGGTATTGTGATCCCTCCAACTTTGTTCTTCTTTCTCACAAAAGGTATAATTTTTTTGATAAGTCTGTTTTCTGGATTTTGTTCTGTCATTTTAAAAGAACTAAAAAACAATTTTTAATTTTAAAAAAATATTAAAATTTAGTAAAGTAAGTCAAGCATGAATTAAACTATACACTTACTAACAAGGATAGCACACCTGACAGTTCACACAATTTTACCACTTTAAATTTTAAACAAAAATAAACTCCAGTGGTTACCTAGAATGACTGAAAGAACTCAAGTTGCATTTTTTTTCATCTTTACAACCACTGCACTATCATTGTTCATTTCAAATCTACTGTTTAAACACAAAAGTATGTGATGCCCCAGAGCTTGGAAGCACTGACTGTACCCAAAAGGAATGCACAATGTCACCTGACAAAGTAATTCTTCAATGCATGTAGGAGGTCCACGTTTTGGGAGTCCCTCTCCAAAGTAACTTCCATGTATAATTAAATGTTTATTAAAGGATAATTGATAAAATTGTCTGAATGTGAAACTTATTTACTTATACTCCTACATATTCTGCAATAAGATAATTGTTTATACTTTAAGCCACGAAAAGATTTTTCATGAAGAAGTATCTTATCGCTGACATTGTTTACGATTGTCAGTGTACAGTGGCACTAAGAGCAGACCTGCTTTCAGTCAAATGCATTGTTTTTTTAAACTCCTCTGCACCTGTTTATTGCCTGCACCAGAGGACGGTGCCGTTGCGCCACCTCTAGTACACACACAAGTCAAGATACTCTACTAGTAAACGATGCCTTGGGGTGTCTTTTTGAGCTGGCTAACAGGAAACGCTATGTTTTTCTTCACAATGAGAAGCATGTAATTGATTATGTTGCCTTTATTGCATTGGCTCCAAGAAGTTCAGAGACAAATTTATAGCTCACCAAGTAGAATCTTACGGATTTCGATTTCTCCCCTTATCAATTTCATGCATACCTTCCCTGTCCCAACTTCCCTCATATTGTTTCAAAGATTTCAAAATGAACTCTCGCAGCCTAATTAACTTACACAATCCTTCTGCAAGTTTAAATTTTGACTTTAGGTGGTTTCAGGTAGGGCACAAAACCTCCAGTTGACCATAATCCCCACCACTCCCTAAGAACTGCCCTGTGTGTAGCCTGTCTCTTTCATATCTACGTAATCTCTGCTTAGCCCCTGAAAGTGGTTCGGTTTTCAAGCCACCTGTGTTTTTTTCTTTCTTATACATCTTTGTAAGACAGCTCATATCATTTGTGGAGTAGGGAGGGAACTCAGTCTAGCTTAGTCTGGTATGAGAGGTGCTGGAATCTGGGAAGACGGGAACCGTGTATCTGGCACTCAGTAATCAACTGGGAAAAGTATTGGTACCGTTTTATAACTGAGAAATTGAGGCCCCCAAGAGTTAAATGCCCCCATTTCAAGTTAACAGCTTCTTGATGGCAGAACCAGGATGGAAACCCAGCTGGTCTGGAGCCAGGTCTGTCTACCCTATGAGGTGAGGGAGTTGGAGGACTGGAGTGCTCCCCAAGGGAGTGGATGATTCCCTGGGGAGGAGCTAATCTTCCACTCCTCCTGCCCTTGGCTTCCTGGCTCCACACACAGATCCCACAGAGCTGTCCATCAGGAGGCCAGGCAATGCCAGCCCTGGGGCCACTGCATGGCAAGCCACCCTCAGGCCCTGACCTCGGAGGTGTGCTGGGTTAATTCTCTGCCTTCTTAAAATTCTTAATAAAAGGCCACATCACCACCACTTTCGACTAAAAAGTGACAGTGGCAAGTTCTGGCCAGGATGTAGAGGAAAAAGGAACCCTTTTGCACTGCTGGTGGGAATGCAGACTGGTGCAGCCACTGTGGAGAACAGTATGGAGTTTCCTCAAAAAACTAAAAGTGGAACTCCCATTGACTCAGTGATCCCACTTCTAGGAATGTATCACAAGAAGCTAGAAACACAATCAGAAAGGACATATGCACCCCTATGTTCATAACAGCACAATTCACCATAGCTAAGATTTGGAAACAGCCTAAGTTCCCATCAGCAGATGAGTAGATTAAAAAACTATGGTACATCTACACAATGGAATACTATGCTGTGGTAAAAAAGAAGGAATTCTTACCATTTGCAACAGTATGGATGGAACTGGAGAGCATTATGCTAAGCGAAATAAGTCAGAGAGACAAGTAGCACATGATCTCACTCATTTGTGGAATATAATGAACAACATAAACTGATGAACAAAAACAGATCCTAAGACAGAGAAGCATCAATCAGACAGTGAAACCTCAGAGGGAAAGTAGGGAAGGGTGGGGGTATACTGTAATCAATAAAGAAAAATAATAATAAAATAATAATAAAAAGTGACAGTGGCAAGATGGCCCCACCACCACCAGACTCCTGTGCCATTGGTGTGTAGCGGACACCTTACCCCGAGCAAAGGCTTCTGGGAGTCATCGCCTCAGACCCAGCTCCTCCTCCTGACACTTAACCCAGAGCCCTTGGCTTCACTGATGCCCTGATCTGCCTGAGCTTGGCTCTGGACAGTCGCCACAGCAACCAGAGATTGGTCTCTGCAGTTGAATGAGTCAGCAAATATTTATCAAGCATTGTGCTAGGAACTGTGAGGGAGAAAGGGTGGCTTTGCCAGTTTTAACATATTTTTAGTAATAAATACTCAAAAAGAAGTGGGGGGAGGGGTTATTTATAAGAACCTAGTCCTCTTCTTTCCTGGAAGCCATGAGGTAGACAAAACACTAGTGTCGCTTTTTACATGCACAAATTTGGGAGCTAGATATTTTTGGGTTCAAATCCTAGCACTACTACTATGTGTGATAGTATGCAAGCCATACTTGCCTCAGTTTCCCCTTTTCAAGGGAAGAATGCTTCCCCTTGCCCACCTCATAAGGCTTTTTAAGGATGAAATGAGCTAATGTGTAACAAAGAGCTTTGTTGACTGTGCAAATGTTAGGTTGTTCTTTCAATAAACATTTATTAAGCATTTACTCTGAGCCAAAGCCTGAGTTAGGCATTAGAGTTTCTCAAATGTAAATGTCCTAGGCTCATTGAGATTTGCCCTTCTTTTTTCTAGCTGAGGTGAAATTCACCTAACATAAAATTAACCATTTTAAAGCAAACAATCAGTGGCATTTAGTGCATTCACAACGTTGTGAACCAAGACCTCTATCAAGTTCCAAAACTCAAAAAGCCTGTACCCATTAAATGTCACCCTCCTCTTGGTCGACTTTCTCTTGCTATCATTTTGTCGTTCTCGGGAATTGATATCCTGGGCTTGATAATATCCTAACGTCCCTTTGATCTCCTAGGACTCCAAGCCAACTCCTGGTCCCAGCTCCAGCCTCACAAGATGAAACCCAGTTTCCTCCGCCAGCGCCGGGAACCAGGAACCTGCGCCTGCCGCTTCTAATTCCACCGGGGCTGGGTGGGCAGGCGATGGCCGTGGTTTCACCAGGTTACCTCCCACAGAGGAGCGCTGTGTTTGCTCGTGTGTGTGCTCTTCTTTCTTGGAATCGGCTTCTTGTTCGCAGCATCGTCTCTTCCCGGCAGCCTGTGCGCTTGGCGAACGTCCGCCCTTGTCAAGCTCAGGGAGAGTCAGGTGCAGGGGGAGGAGGCCATGTTTGGGCAAATATTGGACTTGTCCACATTTGCTGTCCCTATCAGGAACCTGAATGGTGTTATTGATTGACAGATGCGGGGACCAACTGTTTGGAAAGCTGAGCCCCCTCGGATTGGGTAGGTGTTTCGGCAAACAGCCCTAATACTGGGCAAACAGGCCTGTTGGAAGAAGTGCCTGGCGTGTTAGCAAAGCAAACCAAGCGCTGAGCAAACAGCTTAAAAGAATGTGGCCACCTCCACGTAACCTCAACCGAGGTATTGATCCCGCTGGAGGCAGGAGAGGGGTTGAGCGGGGAACAGAGAGCTACAAACCCAGGCAGAATGTAAATGTTATCTTTAAGCTGTGCTGTCAGGGCCCTAATGGGCATCTGTTTGGAATTTGTCTTCTTGCAAATCTTTAAATCCAGGTTAGGACCATGCACAGAATTTAATAACAACTTTTCAGAAAGATCGGGGCTTGGAGCTGATTTCATTCTTCACAAGCCCAACTGGGACTTTCTGTTCTTGTTAGAGGTAGCAGCTTTACATTGAAACTTTCTAGGTGCAAATTCCAAGCTGGGAGGAGGCAGATCTGAACCTGATTCAGAAGGCTTCGGCAGAATAGAAGAAAATCCAGAAACAAAGATGCTTTATCTGACCACTGAGTTCTCCACGCATGAGAGCTGGTCAGTGGAAGGAACCCGAGAATCAATGCCAAGGCACCTGGTTTTGCTGCAGCTGCTGGCTCCACCTGGCTGGGCCCTCTGTCATCACTGCACAGGGCCTCAGCTTCTGCTCCTTCCCAGGGAAGATGGCATTCGCAAAGGCCCAAGCTAACAGGGGTGGGTGGGAGTACACTCTGTAGCCAAAAACACTGCCCCGGTGCAAGGAGGTGGGCTGTTTGCTGGGAGACCCTGGGGGTGGCCCTCCAGGACTCTAGACCCTCTGACATCACCACGTGGCAATGGAATGGGCCATGGCTGTGGCTGTCATCTGTTGCTCACGGCAAGTGACTGACTGGACCTGGGTGTCCTTGCCCAGAAGGTGGTCGGGGGAAGGGATGTTTGCAAATTGCTTGAAAAGTCTAAAACCATGGTTTATTGCCTTCTAATGTTTCTGTAAAATAATAGAGTAAAAAATACGTACTTGCTCCTCAGTGTCTCAAATGAGGTTGGAGGGCTGTGAGCAGATGTCATTACTGGTCCACCATGTCTCCCTGAGAAAAGCCACGGAAAGAATGAGATCTGCTCCCTTCCCCGCGGACCCCTTCTCCAGCCTGGCCTGCTGCCCGGGTTGTTGCAGGCAGAGCCTAAGCACAGCTCAGCCATGTACCCCACACAGTGAGTGGGCAAACCTATGCTGGGTCCTGGCCCATCAGGAAGACTGAGGCCTGTTTTCAGTGGAGGCCATGAGCAGTGTGGGTAACCCCAGGTATTACTTGACACTGCATTTTATAAGAGTAAAGGAAGCTTATAAGCCATGTTGGCTATCTCTGGCATTTCACATCTGGTCTCACAATGATAAGAAAAATCAAAGAAGAATGTGGCTCTGAGAAGGGGGCATTCCTAATTTTAACAGGTCTTTAAACATGCATTTAAGCATTTAACCAAAGGATATAAGTGAAGTGGCTAAGAGTATGGGCTTCAGAGTCTAATGCCTTGGGTAAAATCCCAACTCTGCCGCTTACTAGCTGTGCAGTCTTAGGCAAGTTATCTAACTTCTCTGAACTTCAATACTCCTCCCTATAAAATGGAAATAATAATACATTTCTGAAGGGATTGTGATAAGGATTAAATGGGCTACTGTATGTTGGCCTCTCAGTGCATCCTCTCACCATTCAGTATATAGTGGAGACTTATTACTGTTTCTGTGACATAGGCAGAACAGACCCAAGTGAAAACAAGTTGTCACTGCCAATTTGTGACTGTTGGGGGAAGCCCTGCTCCCAGTGAGAAAGCCCACCAGCTTTGCCTAGAAAACTTACCACCGGGCTGGGGTCAGCACAGAAAGGGCACCGTGCAGGCGGAGAAATTCACTAAGTGTCTGAGGACAGGACCTGGGGGAGCTTCTCAGATTGCTTCCGCTGCAGGTAGACCACCCAAGGTTCTGCGCTCCAGGCAGGGAGGAATCTGTGAAGACAAAGTGTCCTCCACTTGTAGATGGGACAGCGGAAGCTTCGAGAAAGGGAGACACTTGCGCAACATCATAGAGAGGGCCCGTTATGACAATAAGGAAAGTCTTCAAAGGCAAAAACCACAGAGAGGTTATCAGGAAGAAGTCAAAGCTAGTCTTGAAAAGGAGTGGAAGGTGACCTGATTCATCTCCCCCCACCAGAAAGTTATTAATTAATGAAGGTTTCTCTACTACAATTAGAAACAAATATGCAATCTGTACCTGTGTTGACACTCTTGCTCTCAACCTAATGATTAACCAGCCCTCAATGAAATGTGTATCTCAGCAAAGGTTGTCTCAAAACCATTTGCTTTAGGAACAAGAGAGTAAACACAAAGACACACAAACGCCAGGGTAACCTATGGCATGGGTTAAGTAGAGATGACTCTATTCTCCCGATCCACATGGCATAACCTCTGGGTAAACACGGAAGACTCCCCCCTCCTCCCTTAAGGAGAAGGCTCTTAAGCTAGGTCATGCATTTGGCCAAAGTCCACCATGCAGCCTCAGGCTCCCCCGCTCCATAGCCCCACGGATCACAAGCAGAGGTCCCTATCAGACCCCCCACTTTCCCTCCCTCCTGCCTCTCCCCTCAGTTCTGCAGACAGTGACATGGATGCTTGCTGCCAGGAACCAAAAAGATGTTGAAAGCGAAAAGGGGTAAACTTGTTAAATACGACTACTGCTGTTTTCAAGGGTCAAGGACACTTGCTCCCACTGGCCTGGAAGTACAGGCACCATCTGCCCTCCCCTGGTCATCCTCGGGTTCCAGACCTCACTCTCGCTGCTGATGGACAAAGTCCTCCTTTCTTGGCGGAAGACGCTGGGCGCTCTACAGACCTGGAGGAGCTTCCATTTGGGGGCAGCAGTGGGTGCAGGGCCTGGAAGCAGAGGTCCAATGAGCCTACACTTTGGAAAGAGGTTTTTGAGCACCTTGATCCAGAGCAGATTAGAGGTCCATGTTTGGACGCAGGAGACCAGAAATCCCTTAGGAATATCTGCTTCGCCTCATGACAGAACCCGTCCCCTTGGAAAGCCTAACCCACAGGGTTGTGAAAGGCTCAGCCCCTGATTCCCCTGCTGTTACTTCACATGGCACGTGGCACGTTCCTGCAGCTGCTGCTAACGCAGGGCCTGGAAAAACAAGTTCCCTTGTGAATTCCCACTTTCCTGTCCTATCGCTTTCCTCATAATTACCCAATTAGACTGGATCCCCTGATAGAAGAGGTTAATCTTTACAAGCCAGGAAAAGAGGGAGTTATTGTATGCTGAGCCCATCTACCCAGATCCATAGTCACTAACACTGTTTTTGAAAAGACCCAGGTTGGCACAGGGTTTTGACTTGAGAAGCACCAGCTAATTACAATAATGTGAACTACACAGTGGCAGTAGCCTTGCGGATGAATCACTGAAAAGGCTGAGAGATGCTGGGAATGCTCAATTAATGATCAGATCAGTAAAAATGCACATTCGCCGAGGTGCCCAGATCTGGCCCTTTAGCTAAAATCACTGTCCTCTTTTTAACCACAGGATCTTCCATACGGAGTTTAAATATTTTCAGAACTTCCAACTTTGAAATAAGTAAACAAATCTAGCCCAAACCAGGACTGACCTCATGGTTGTGCGACCCCTGCAGTCACTGAGGGCCTGAGTCCAGAAGGGCCCCTCATGTGATGTTCTTAATAATTTCTGAGCAAGGGCCCCAGTATTTTCATTTTCCACAGGGACCTACAAATTATGTCATTGGTCTTCCACCAAACTCTTACTAACAAAAACAAGATGATGCTAATAGAAAGTGAGACACAGGCATCCACAGGCAAGCCCCTTAGCCCTCATTTGAATCACAATGCCCCATTGTTTTAAAATTCTGAACAAGCCAAGTCTAAGCTACAAAATCTTTTCTTTGTTTTTTCTCTTTTTAGCTTAATTTTATTTTATATTTTTCCATTACCATTTACCCCCTCTATACCCTTTTATACCTCCACTCACATCTCTGCCTCCGCCCCCCACAACCACCACGCTATTTCCATGTCCGTGAGCATTTTCTCTTTTTTCCTTTTTTGCAGAATCCCTCCACCTCCCATGCCTGCTCCCCATCCCAGAGCTGTCAGCCTGCTCTCTATCTATGAGTTTGTCTCTATTTTGCTTATTAGTTCAGTTTGTTCCTTAGATTTCACATGAGTAAAATCATACGGTACTTTTTTTTCTCTGACTGGCTTATTTCACTTAGCATAATGTTCTCCAGGTCCATCCATGTTGCCCCAAAAGTTAACATCTTTCTTTTTTTTAAGGCCAAGTAATATTCCATTGTGTAAATGTACCATACCTGCTTTATCCCTCATCTACTGATGAACACTTGAGCTGCTTCCAAATCTTGGCAATTGTAAATAATGCTGCAAGGAACATAGGGGTGCATATATATATATTCTTTTGAATTAGTATTTCAGGTTTCCTCAGATAAATTCCCAGAAGTGGAATCACTACGTTGTAAGGCAGCTCAATTTTTAATTTTTGAGGTAACTTCATACTACTTTTTGGGGTTTTTTTATGTTGAGTTTTGTAAGTTCCTTATAAAATTTTGGATATTAACCCCTTATCAGATGTATCATTGGCAAATATGTCCTCCTATTCAGTAGGTTGTCTTTTCACTTTGTTGATGATTTCCTTTGTTGTGCAAAAACATTTTAGTTTGATGTAGTTCCATTTGTTGTTGTTTTTTCTTTAGTTTCTTTTGCCCAAGGAGGATATATCAGAGAAAATATTACTATAGGAAATGTCTGAGATTTTACTGCCTATGTTTTCTTCTAGGATTTTTATGGTTTCAAGTCTAACATTTAAATATTTAGTCCATTTTGAGTTTATTCTTGTGTGTGGTGTAAGAAGGAGGTTTAGCTTTATTTTTTTGCATGTATCTGTCTAATTTTCCCAAAACCATTTATTGAATAGACTATGTTTAGCCCATTGTCTATTTTTACCTTCTTTGTCAAATATTAATTGACTATAAAGGCATGGGTTTATTTCTGGGCTCTTTATTCTGTTCCATTGATCTCTATGTCTGTTTTTATGCCAGTGCCATGATATTTTGATTACTATGGCCTTGTAGTATAGTTTGATATTAGGTAGCCTAATTCCTCCAACTTTATTCTTCTTTCTCAAGATCATTGTTACTATTAGGAATCTTTTGTGGTTCCATATACATCTTTGGAATATTTGTTCTAGTTCTGTGAAATATGCCATTGGTATCTTGTAAAGAATTGCTTTGTGGCCGAAACCGGTTTGGCTCAGTGGATAGAGCGTTGGCCTGCGGACTGAAGGGTCCCAGGTTCGATTCCGGTTAAGGGCATGTACCTGGGTTGCGGGCACATCCCCAGTGGGAGATGTGCAGGAGGCAGCTGGTCGATGTTTCTCTCTCATCGATGTTTCTAACTCTCTATCTCTCTCCCTTCCTC